CCCCCCAAACAATGTGTTTCAGGCTGTAAAATAGAGTGATCTGAACAGAGGGAGGAGGGGGGGACAAACTCCTGTGATGTTTCTCACAGGTCGTGTCTGAATCATAAACGCTGCTTGGACCCCAGCGAACAAGTTCCCAGAGAGAGAGGAAGGGGGAGCGAGAGAGCGGTGGGGGGGGGGGGAGTTGAAGGGTGTCCCCACGGCTCAACAAAGGGGCCACACACACAGAGCTCATACCTACACAGTGTGCAGTCATTTACACTTACACACACACGTAGGAAGATTATACACAAGTACTACACACATACAGTTACATGCACATCAAGCTGTGAAGGTATGGGTTATCCGATAAAATGTTCCCATACATTCGAATATAATTAGAGATATATCCGAGGTGTCTATTGTTATATAATCAGGGGTGCACATAAGTGGTACGCAGGTACGCATGCGCGGCAACAATCTGAAATGCGTACCGTCACTTGTGTCACAAAGCGCATTTGCGTACCGATGTATATGTGAAGCTTTTCCATAAGGCGGTTAGATCACCGGACGACGGAGTCGGTCTCCGTGTGCAAAGACAGGGCTGCTGTTAACGTCGGCCTGTACAGCAGCACTGCGCTAAAACAGCTGATCACAACGTTCACACGCTCTGTGGTCACGAAGCTCTGCACTCTACTACTACCCCCCGTTGACATTCGCGATACAGAGGGCTTCATCATACTCCACTAGCACCCCCACCCGCTGATATTCGCGATACAGAGGGCTTCATCATACTCTACTACTACCCCCCCGCGATACAGAGGGCTTCATGGGAACTTTGAGGGAGCCGGAAGTTGGAGTACCAAACACTGACTCCAGGTACTCATCTGAGTACCTCACTGAGAAAGTTGTGTGCACCCCTGGTTATATTGTTTTTACAAAATTAGTTGTTATTGATGAACACTCTCAAAACTATACAATTATCTTGTATTTCCCAATAATTTAACTAATTACGTCGTGGTATTAATTATATAACTTGTTCTATTCGTGTTATTGACTTCATGACGATCGACACATGATTGGACGATAAGTGAAGTACATGTGGGGTTGTCATTCTACCCGAAAGGTGCCAAAAAGGATCACCATTTACCTTAGAGCTAATTTGTATTTTTTACATAAGACTTGTTTTCTAGTTAACCAAACAGTTTGTGTTCATGGTCCGACCATGTAATTGTAAAACTTAGTTACTTGCACTGCGACAGACATGGTATTTTCAAATAACGTTACAAAGAAAAGACTATTAACAACCGATTTACAAGTTGACTTTTTAGCAGGTCCATCAAGGGTCTAAGAGTCTACAAATCCCGAAGCGCAAAAAAACCACGACAACCACTACGGAGCCAACAGCAGG